GCGGGCACGCAGGAGTGAACGGGGCTGCTCCTTCACACTCAGCACCGAGGGAGGTACGTTCCGTCTTTGGTCCAGCCCGCTGTGCTCTGCTCTCTCAGGAAACTGAGAAGGCTGACCTACCTGGCTCGCTACCACGGTCCAAACACCGTCGAGTCTCAACTGCCTTCAGCTGCCTTTCTGTTTGCCTACGTGCCAAGAAGTCCTTGCCTTTGCCTTTTTATCCTATATTATTATCAGTCATGTCACAAAAGATTATCCCATTCTACAGTTACGACATTTGAAACAGTGGACATTATTTTTCACTTATTCCAAGTAAAGTACACTTTACTTTGGAGATGTAGGTAAACACGCTTCACCTCCTCAGATGACTATAAAAAGTATTCCAACCGAGCACTGAAGAGGCCACCTCCATGCAGACAAGTAGGAGGGCGAAGACACGGAGACGTGGTGAGGCGTGACGAGGCAGCGGAGCAGGTGGTCCCACATTCACACGTGGTGGATAAAGATCAGGAGGGACACCTCAGGAGCAGGGGGCCCCAGCCCCAGGAGATAAATCCCCACAACCTCTGACTGTAAAAACCAGTGGGGCTTGGGGCGGCAGAAGAAACTGCTGGATTAGCAGGAGACTCCACTCAAAGGGCCCACGCGGACTTGGAACTCACGCAGACCTGCCCCTCCGGGATTCAGCACGAGGACAAGAGCTGCAAGGGCAGCAGGCGCAAGAGGCCAGTGCCAGGAGAACCCCCAGAAGCCAGGCAGCAGCGCTGTCCCTCTCCAAGCCCCGCCCCCCACAGAGAGCCACCGCGCTGTAAAGCAGATGGCCCCCCACCCCCTGGCAGTTACCTAAGGCCCCACCCCACAATATTCACAGGTGCCTGTTCTACAACAGGCCACGCTACTAAGACGGGGAGTCAAAGCAGCTCCACCTAATACACAGAAACACACACAGGGGGGGCTGCCAAATTGTGGAGACAGGGAAATATGGCCCAAATCAAAGAAGAGAACAAAACCCCAGAAAAATAACTAAACAAAACAGAGACAGCCAACCTATCAGAGGCAGAGTTCAAAACACTGGGGATCAGGATGCTCAAAGAACTCACTGAGTACAGCAACAGGGTAAGAAAGTCCCAGGAAGAAATGAGGGATGCGTGAAGCGAAAGAAAGAAAAATCTACAGGGAACCAACAGTGGAGCAGATGAAGCTGGTATTCAAATCAACGAGTTGGAACATAAGGAAGAAATAAGCATCCAACCGGAACAGCAAGAAGAAAGAATTCAGAAAAATGAGGCTAGTATTAGGTGCCTGCGGGCATCTCCCAACGTACCAATGTTTGAATCGTAGGGGTGCCCTAAGGGGATGAAGATGAGCAAGAAACTGAAACTTCTTTGACAAAACAATGAAAGAAAACTTCCCTAATTTGGCAAAGGAAATAGACATATTTTAGGGTCTTATAATCTAGATTTATTTCTGCTTCATCCTAAAAAATGTACACCGTACATCTTAAAAAACTTGGAGAAACAGCTTTTGATGTCCTCACTGAACCGCAGCGCACAGACCTCAGGTGTGTGTCACAGTGTCAGAAAACGGTGAGGCAGCAGGAAGGCACAGCATCGCGAAGGCACGCGGCTCAGAGGCTTCCTACGGAGGGGTCAAAACTGGGGGCGAGCGGGCTTAAAATGAACACATGAATAAATACATAAGTTCAGGAAAAATGTTTTTAAATAATGTGTGCTGGAGAGTAAACTCCCTTAGGATGAGACAGGTCCTAATCCAAATTGTGTAAATTTCTAATGTGTTACACTGTAGAGTCATTTAACATATGAAATGCTACTTTAATTCAATTTACTTATTGTACTGAATACTGTAAAGAATGTGCTAGTAAGATCAGATTTTACTGTAAAATACAGATGTTTTGATTACAGTCCCTATTTATAACATTAAGGGAAAAGCGGAAATGCCCGGCGATCAGCTCAGATTTAGCGCCTGGGGGCGGAGGGTGCGTGGCACGTGGACACAGCTCACAGGAGCACGTTTTCAAACAGCCTCATGGTGCTCTCATCTGAGGGTGCTCTCATCTAAGGGTGCTCTCATCTGAGGGTGCCGGGTGCGTGGAGAGAAATCTGGCCTCAGTCCCCGTTCCACTCTTTCTAATCATGCTTTTCTCCGCTATTACCCGAAATCAATTGCAATCTTGTCCTTCCGGGTTAAATGTTAAATCCGGTGGAAGCTCAAGACACTGTCTTTGGTCACATTTAATATGAATCTGAATGGGAGCTTCCTGGGAAGGTTCTCCCTGTGAGTAATGCGCTGTTCAGTTTATCTAACTACACTTTCAAAGCAGCACACTGTCCCTTCTCCAGTCACACCCTTCCGACACCGGCTGCTGGCCCCCTGGGGCACCCTCCACCCCGCGTGCGCGGAGGTCCTCCCCGAACACGCTTCTGTTGCCCTCTCATCACTACTTGTCTGTTCCGTCTCAGTTTCTCTCAACAGCCTTTCCACGACTGTGTTACGTCCTCCAGTCCCGCAGGTTCCCACGGTGCTAACACGGACCCAATGTCCCCAGAACACCTCTCACAGGCCAAGTGCTGCTGTTCGATTGCGAACCAGACAAGCCCGACCGCAGCATCAAGGGCTGTGCGTTCTAGGTGGAAAGAAAGGCTTCAAGGAACAATGACAAGTAACTAACAACATCATTACAAGTGTCTGAAGTGCCTTACAGGAACAGAGGGGCACACGGGGTGTAGAGCAGAAGGACCTAATCTGGGGTGGGGTACAGGAACAAGCATATCAGGTAGACTCCGCCATTGTGCTCTAGGCAAAGACAAAGAAAAATACAAAAAAAAATATTCACAAATTCTGGCAGTGGGGCAACAGAGGCAAAAACACCTTAAGGCGGACAGAAGAGAGAATACGGCTTATTTTACGCGAACAGAGAAAGGGTTGTGCAAGACGAGGCTGGAGAACACCCTGGGCCCCGGACAGGCTGAGGCCCATGGCAGCCGCCTGGGTACACCGCTCACTGTCCCCCAGAGAACCCGCTGCCAGGCTGTGGGGACAGTGGGCTGTTGTGACCCTTCAGGATGCAGTAAAACATGCCATCGAGGCCACATGCCCCCTCCCTGGGCTGCCTCCGCTCTGCGGCTAAGCACAGTGGGAGTCTGGCCCTTTCTGTCCGAGGCAGGCGCCCCTCACAGCTCCTCCTGCTCCAGCCCTCCCCACCGGACTGGCCACGGCTTTGCTGGGTTCATCGGGCAGATCCCGGACCCCGATTACCCTCTTCCCCAGCCTGGGGCTCCCTCTGGAGTCTGGTCTTCTTCAGGCTGAGATCTGCCTATTTGTTCTGAGACCCGGTGACTGAGCACAGTTACTATCAATTAAACGACAAAGACGACTCACATAATCGCAGCCCCGGCTTCCCACAACTTGGGTGGCAGCACTGGGGAAACTGAAACTGGTGGAGATTTACAATTCTGGTTTTCCTAAGAAACTATAAAAACAATCAGCTCTATCTGGATGAAGCAGATAACTCTCAATAGGCTCTGTTCGGTTTGCCTTAAACAAATACTTAATTATGGCACCTTATTGCAGGAAATAGCACAATACGTTTGGTTTAGTTCAAGCTACAACGGAGACGAGGATGTTCGCTCCACTCCCTCTGCTGACTTGGCCCAATGAGCCACGTGCCATTTGTGACAGTCACCGAGGCTTTTCTTCAAAGGCAGACGAGGACCCACCGCACCCATCAGAACCCACCTGCTGGAACACACCTCCGCTGAACCGCTGCAAGGGAGCAGGTGTCCACCGGGGCTGCCTCTCCAGCACCTGTCCCGCCCCGCCACGGGTGTGTTAGCATGGAGCTGAGCACGTGACATGTGGATGGAGCCCACACCCCACCCAGCCTGAGACAACCCAGATCTCATCTCATCCTCCTTTGCCAAAACCAAGGGTGGCCAAGGGATGTCTCAGCGTCTTCCTCCCCCGGGACGGAAAGGGGTAGAGCATGTGTTGCTGCAGGCAGCTGCTGGAGACCAGGAGAGAAACGGACAAAGAGCAGGCCTCCACAGCAGCGCCAAGACCACGGAGGACAGAGGACGCAGACAGGAGGCGAGGCCGGGCTGCGTCTGAAGATGGCCCAGCCTCATGGGACCCCTGAGGCTGGGCCAAGAGGAGAGTCTCCTGTCCCTCCTGTCAAAGGTATTCTCATGCCCCAGGGCATTTGCCTGGTTTTCTAAGTTTAAATTGCACCTCTGATCCTGGTCTCTGCTTCCCTTCTGGTCCCTGCCGGAAAAGTACGTCAATTATTCTTCAGTGCTTCAGACTTCACAGACGCTCACTAAACACAGATGCTCACTAAACACAGACTTTAAAGTTTGCATACCATTTCAACAAGTACCAAGGAAGACAGTAAAGTGTAATGCGAGTTGTCTATTAGCTAATTAATGGGATTAAACACTGGGTGGATGTCATTGTTGAATACCTTTGAGAGCCACAAATGAAAAGCGGCAGACTCTTAACTGATTTAAGAAAGGTCACTATTTCCTTGGCTTATGTAAGAGTTTGCAGTGATGACCATGGGCCAAACCCCTGTTTGTTTTGCCCACATGAAGTTTAAACGCATGAAAAAAACAGACACACAGCTCCACAGGGCAACCAGCAACCAGAGACGAAAAGCAGCTTCTCACCCTAAACCAAACGTGAGCTGTCAGCTCCGAACACCTTATACGAGGGCCCTGCCCCGTGTCCCGGGGCCTTGGCCTTGTGAGGTGCTGGCAGCCGTGACTTCTGGCTGACGTGTGCACGCTCCTGTTTCAGAAGCTAAGTACAGATTTACTCAACGTGCGGAGAAACCCTGACAGGAATCTAGAAACCGGCACAGAAGTAAATGATCTCTCATTTTAAAAAGAAAATGAAGTTTTAGAGGAGGAAAAACTTCAACCGGGATCTTTAACGGACTTGGCAGTAGGACTTCATCCACCAGCTAGGGGCCCGCCACATACCTGCAGGTCCTTCTCTTCCACCTTCGTCTGGAGCACCTCGAGGCACTTGGTGAAGTCCGTGTGGTCTTGGTCGGGCGTTGAAATGAGCTCACAGCCCTGTGTGCGGCAGAAGAAAGCAGGTGAGAATGAGTGACGACGCCAGCCTCGTGAACAGCTCGGAAGCTGTAAGGGTCCAGATAAGGTATCGGTAGGGACATCCCATTACGTCTGTATTATCCCCGATCATCAGGATCATTGCCAGTATCTGTTTATGTCCCGTGCCAGGACCGCTCAGGGACGGTGTCAGAACAGCACAGCGATGGTCTGATTGTGACGGTCGTTTCCCCCAGAAAAGGACAGGTTAGACCACATGAACGGTCTTCGAAGTTCACTGCTGTGACATTCAAGATCTGGACCAAGAACTGTAAAACGCACTCACAGGGAAATTACCTTAAGTTAACACCAGTTCTAAGAAACTCTGAATCTCTGTAAGCAGACCTCCCGAGTTTACTCGCACAAGTGGGGAAAACAGCAGCCGTGTTAAACTGATGGTGAAACTACGTTAGGTAAAAGCAAGTCAGGTGTCCCTCGAAATTCCTTTACACACCCCTTTCCCCCGTGAGAAGCAGCACCAAGAGCTCGGCTTCTGGACACGTGTTTCTTGGATTATTTCTGGACAGAATGAAGTGAATGGGTAAGTTCTTTGCCTCTTCCACAGCAGATACCTTACCTAGCAAGAAACACTGAAATATATTCATAGATACGAAGCCACTAAAAGTGCCAGCTTTTTGGCACCCGTGAACTTAGATGACTAAAGAAACCTTCTCTTCTGATGTCTGACACAGGGATGGCATATGAACCAGACTGCAATGGGACTGCAGACTTAATTCGGGAATAAAACAACGTGCGGTCTCTGACAGTCGGCTGAGTGAGGCGAAGTTAAATATAATCTACTACAAAAAGTTGCCATTCAAAGAGTTTTCAAGGATACAAAACACCCACACTGCCTCTTAAATTATTCCAAAAACCATTCTCAGTAGATTTAAAGGTTCTTCTTTAACTTCAAGGTCTCTTTAAATGTATCAAGCGCAACTTAAGCTTTTTTCCTTTACGACTGCCCTACAACGTAGAGACCAATGAAAAAAATTAATTTCTCATCATTCGGAAATACATTATGCCCTGAAAGATGTATATGTCATCTTTACAAGGTCATCGGCGTGTCCTTTCCTTACCCTAAAAGAACACTGGAATTTACTACAATCACCAAGCAAGGGCATAAAGAAGTGGATTCGTCTCTGGCTAACATTCCTGAGAGAGCAGACATGAGGATGTACCAGAGGACACAGGGGTGGGACCGGGGCTGAGGACATTAGGTTGTCACCGAAGCAGAACTCACCCCTGGGAAAGTTCCCTGAGGACAGGAATCGTGTTTCGGTCATTACTGTTCCCACTGCCTGACACCAGTCTGCTGCACAGTAAGTGTTCGATAAATGTTTAAATAACTTTCCTTAGGAATGAAGATGTATGCCAGCAAAGGGGTGGGGGGGGTGGCATCTCATTGCTGAATGTACCACAGATGACAATGGGAAACGTCTTCGTTTAGGGGCTGACAATAAAAATCATCACTCCAATAAAGGGGAGCAGAAATAAAAAGGCAAACAGAAAGAGCAAAGCAAGGGATGATTAACAGATCATTGTCCACCTTAAAGTTCTCTTTATAGAATTAGGAACAATTATAGCTAAAGAGAACCCAAGAAATCATGTCTGGTCCCACTGTGACATTTTGGAGAGGAAGGAGATAAACACTTTGGAAATGAAAACAAGAGGTTTAAATGGACTTGCTAACCACACAGCGAGGCAGTGAGCAGCATGGATGCCACACCTAGAAACCCTATTGTTTTTCTCCCGTGAAGTGGAAGCTCCGAGACATCTAACAGGAAAAGGTCGTGTAACATCTCAAGAAGTGGTTCCACAAGAATGATGTTATAAATCAAGTAACTTGAAACACAGGAGCGAGACTTCAAAACTCCTTATTTTACCTCAGCAATTTAAGATGGGCACACAGACAAGCTTAAGTCAGTCCTTGAAGGCACTGAAATATTTAGACTATACACCAAGAACTTCTAGAAAGTCTTCTTGGGGCATTTATCAGCTATCCTCGGCTTCTTGGAATTTTCATGAGTTTAAAAGACTGTAACGTCAGAGAGGGATGACACAGTGGTCACTAGAAGGAGACAGAGCTCCAGCGGCCGCGGCGGGAGAGCTCCCGACCCCCAGCGGGGCCCGGGACGCAGAGCAGCAGCCAACTCACAGCCACAGGCCTGGCCACCGAAAGGGGTTCCCTCTGCGGTTTGGGTCTGCGGAAGCCAGACTAAGACCTAAAAGGGAAGAGATACAGAACTACACTGATCAACTCTCAAGACCCTGCAGACAAGGAAACATGCGGAAATGACCACTAACAGGTATCAAGCTACGTTCAACTATTACACATTAATGTGCAATTACCACCATTTGTGCTATAGACTAAGACTCGACTTCCTGGAGTCAGAAGCACTGAGCCACGTGAAAAATTTCACTGGACTTGATCTTTTTTCTAAAAAGCAAAACCACAGAACACCTCACACTCACAATCCAAGGACCCCGAAGATATAAAAGCTGAGATTTGGCCAATTGAGGAAGTATATCGTTTTAAAAATTCTAGTATTAGTTTCCTAATAGATATATGTGTATTTTACCTTAAAATATACAGACACCTTCCAAAGCACTAACTATAAAACTCTTTAACGCAGTCTGAAGACACCAACGTGTGAGTGGAAACTTGTGTTTTCACTACTACTATCTTTGACTTTTTTCAGTTGCCTGAAATATATTATTTATGGTACAAATTATTATTTTGTACCCTAATCTTATACTATGCATTTATCATGTATGGTTTTTGTCATTACAAAGTCAAATTTTAAATAACCCAATTCTGATAATAAGTTCCCTTTATGAATACACCACATTTTTCAAGCTGGGTTATTACTTTTTAACATTATACCTGATTTTGTTTTACACTAGAATTTGAAAGGGGAGACCTGGACTGACATCACAAATTTTGGTATGTGTCAGTGTCAAGGTTTTTCTGATTTTGTTCAAACCTGAAAAGAATCTTTTGAGCGCGAGGAGCCACAATGCCCACTCCACCCCCTCCCTAAGCCCCCATCCAGGGAGAAGCAAGGAGAACTGAATCAGGTCTGAACAACCCGTTTCAAAATCCTGTTCTAGTGCGTTGAACTGAATACAGGCTTCCTCGTCACAAATCAAAGCCAGGAGACACGTAGAGATTTCATTATAAATCAATTCCCTGAGGGCCAATCCACTACTTTTTAGAGACTTACTATGTGTCTACTGCTTTGTTAAATAATACTATGTACAGAAGAAGTAGGCATCTGCTAGATACTAAGAACACAGACCAGTGACAAATGAAAACAGGAATGTCCTAATTAGTGAACAGGGGCGTCCAACCTGCAGTCCTCGGGCCACATGCAGCCCAGGGTGGCTGTGAATGAGGCCCAACGCAAAACCGTAAATTTACTTAAAACATTATCAGAGTTTTTGTGTGATTACGTGTCACAGTGTAGTTAATGTGTGGCCCAGGACAACTCTTCTTCTTCCAGTCCACAATGGAAGATGCCACAATGGATGCCAAAAGATCTCTTGATCTCTGGAAGAGATGCCAAAGATCTCTTTGGATGCCTCTGACCTGTAAAATATAAATATGTGTGTATGTGTGTTTGGGACAGAAAGACAGACAGACAGATAAGGGGCAGGTTTCTTTTCTTCTTTTGCCCATACTGAGAAATTCCTAGCCCTACTGTGCACTACCCAGCAAGTGCTAAAAGAAAGTCGGTCTGTATTTGACTGGGATTGGAGGCACCTGAAATGCCACTTGGACCATGGGGTGGAGCTACATTCTCTAGTACAACACGCGGCAATGAGGGACGCCTGTTAAGGGAACTGCTGGTTGGTTACATCAGCTTCCCCTCAATTGAGGAGTAACTGAAGAACAAAAGCTTGCAATGCTGAGATCATATCACGGTGTCAGAAACGGAAATAATCTGCAATAATCAAGGAAACATAGTTCATTAAGATGACAGCTGCCCTAACGGCAAGGAGAACCAATTTAAAGGACAAAAAAGTTACAAGTAAGGAAAATTATCCCTTGTGAACACGGTAATTCATCAGCTTGGAGGAGAGTGAAAACTAGAAAGAAGGAAACAGACCGCTGCGGGAGCAAACAAACCAAAGCAGTAGAACAAGTGTGTGTCACACACACACACACACACACACTTGGGTGAACCCACACCCGCGCCTCTGTGGACACAGGCTCCGCGGTCAGCAGCCGACGGAGCGCCCCTGGGTGTACAGGGAAGCTGACCTCCGGAGGCGGCTGCTAGTGCAGAATGTGCACGCATCCAGCTGTGGACGGAAGTTTGATGGGCAGACAAAGGGCGGATGGATTAAAGGCATTTCTCCCCTTGTGGGATGAATAGCATGTTTCTCTAAAACATAAGTCTCGATAAGCCAGACGGCGAGTCTAACACAGAAAAGCAACACTGATGTCCTTTTTTCAGGTACTGCTACTGCTGCCATAAGTTAATTGCGTAACACTTTTGTTTTAGGGCAGCATTTGTGCAGATTCTTAAAATGATGACAAATATCAGTGGTCTGTATGCAATTCAGTAACTTAACATACAGCAATCCTTGAATGTTGGCAAAGCTACTACCCAGTCATGGAAAGTGAAGCACAAATGTACAGGAGAAGCAGTGGAAGGTATCACACAAGGAATCCAGAACTCTTTTGAGCAAGCTGTAACTTATTTCTTAATAAAGGGACACTTGAGGAACAAAACCATTATCAGTGACTTAGTAAAAATGAGTCAGTAAAGAGTCTTTCAGAACATGCTCTGGAATGATAATGGTTCAGTTCAGTTTCCAATATTGCTGACATCTATAGCTATATATGGTCCTAATATATGATCCTAATTACAATAAAGTCACAAATCATCTGAGAGAAATGGTTTATGTTCGGGGCTATACTTACCCATTCTTAAAAAAAAAAAAGCATTTCAAGC